TTAAGGTCATTGATTATTAAATAGGTTATTTCAGAAATTGTTTATAAAAGATATAATTTAATTCTGCAAAATTTTCCCTGTATTTTCAAAAATACTCATCATCCTTATTTCCCCTACTAGTGCCATTTGCTTTTCCTCCCCTCTTCCCACCCCCCATGAGCACAGGTTGGTCTATGGCTGAGAAGGTAGAAAGAAGAAAACTGTGGGCAGGGTACACTGAATTCTTCCCTTGGACTCTTTCTGACTCCTCTTTGGACCAATGCAACTGCATGGAAGAGAGAGAGCATAGAACCCCAGCAATGCGGAGTAGCTTGTATGTTTCTGAATAGCAGAGCACTTAACCCCGTCACCACCACCACTGCAAGTGAAGAGATGGGTTTTTCAGAGGATGTTAGATTATTTTTTGCCCCAAATTTACTGGTCCCAGTCACCAGCAGCATAGAACATTTCAAACGCTGTTTGGCAAGAAGACTACATGGTAAGTTCTTTGAGGGCAAGAGCTTGCTCTCCCTCATTTGTTTACAGAGAGCCTAGGACAATGCCTCACATGTAGTGCCCAATAAGTGTTGAAATCCAGAAAGAAAATATTTTTGGGGATTTCTAATGACTGCAGAGGCGGTGTCTAAAAAGCTTGTGAACACAATGGAATGAGCTTTGTTGTATTAAAAGGACAGCAGATATAGATGAGGTATTATGGAATTGTACAGCTGAATCTTATATAAATTGATTAACCAATGTCACCCCAATACATTAAAGAAAAAAGAAAAAAAAAGGCCAACAGACTTTGATGAAATCACTGCTCATCAATGAATGGGTCATAGAGCATGTTGGGAAGTATGTAGCCTTTAAAAGAATGAATCAGCCCTGGCAGGTTTGGCTCAGCGGCTAGAGCATCGGCCTGCAGTCCAGAGAGACCCAGGATTGGTTCCCGCTAAGAGCACGTACCTCCGTTGCAGTTTATCCCCGGCCCTGGCTGGTCGTGTGGGTGGCAGCCACTCGATGTGTCCCTTTCACATCAATGTTTCTCTCTCTTTCTCTTCCTCTCTCTCCCTCCCACTCTATCTGAACAAAAAAATGGAGAGAAATGTCCTTGGGTGAGGATAAAAAAAAAAAAAAGGAATGCATCAATATAGAAATGATGTATTACAGAATTGTATACCTAGAACATATATAGTTTTATTAACCAATGTTAGCCCAATAAATTTAATTTCAAAAATAAAATCAATAAAAGGATGCATCAGAATGGCGAGCAAAGGGGGCTAGAAGGAATATGTGTGATTTGGCAAGCATATTTTATTGTGATTTTATATTTTAAAAGTGAAAAAATTATATGTATGATGATCCTCAGGGGTAGATGTTGAAGAGTATGCATGAAATACATGTCTAAAGCACATACCCAAAATTGATTGGAAGTTTGGCCTGTTTATGTGTATGGATTTTTAAAGTTTGAGAATCACTGGCCTAAATAACTATGTACCCACTAAAACCACCGTGAAGAAAACAGAGTTGTCTTTTAAACATCAATAATCGTGGCTTTCTCTACCTCTACAACCAGTGATCATTCCTTACCTGCTTACATACTTCCAGCATTTTATGTTTAGCTTTATAAAACACTCATCTTTTAAATGCTAGAGGATGGTGCTCACCATTTTTTTTTTCTTCTCATCTGCTTAAGATCCATTTGACAATTTCCAAAAAATTTTTAAAAATAGCCCTGGCTGGTTTGGCTCAGCGGTTAAAGCGTCGGCCTGCGGTCCCGAGACACCTGGGTTCGGTTCCCGCTAGGGGCGCGTACCTCGGTTGCGGTTTGTCCCCGGCCCTGGTTGGTCGTGCGGGTGGCAGCCACTTGATGTGTTCCTTTCACATCAATGTTTCTCTCTCTCTCTCTGTTCCTCTCTCTCCCTCCCACTCTACCTGAACAAAAAATGGAAAAATGTCCTCGGGTGAGGATAAAAAAAAAAAAAAATTTTTTAAATATGTTTGTCTACAGGCTTCTGTGGTCCTGGTGCCTACTAGAGCAGCATCTGTCTGGAAAGCAACCCGTATACTAATACGTGATCACATGGAGAAAAGGAGTCAGCATTTAGATAACAGAGGAGAACACACATGTAAGTACACTGTAGGTGGATGGAGGGTTAGCAGAGCCCAAATTAAGAAAGGAGGGAGACCCTTGTCAATTAGAACATCAAGCTCAGTGGCTCTTTCCAACAATTCAGGTAAGTGAAGTCCAAGTAAAGGCATAGCAGGCATATGTACATGTACCGTGTGTATGTGCTCATGTGTGTTTCCCAAGTACTCATGATATAGTCACCCAAAGAGGACTTTTCCTAAGTCTTAACGCATTCCAAAGTGGAAACCAATGAAAAGATTTATTTGTATATTCATATATAAAAGCCAGTTTTACGAAGGGAAGCCTCTGCTGAGTGTCAGAGTTTGGGATGAAACCCTGGGGCAAGATCATTTAAGTACTAATTAGCCCCCTTCTAGAACCTGGGTAATAATGGCCATGGCAGTTTCTCTCACTTGATTTTCAAGTTATTCTCAATAGAAATTGACCATAGATAAGTACTTTATGATTTTTAGCAATGAGTGATAAAAAAATACATTTGCATTTCACACTCCTATGGGATTAATCTCTGCAGAAGCTTCATAGTTAATGGCTTTTGCAATTCTTCATTTTCCCTAAACTTTGAAATGAATAGAGAAGAGAATAAAACCATTCCGCAAATAAGAACTTATGAAGTGCAATGTGGTTCTGAATTTCTTTAGTACATTTCACTGCAATCCTCAAAATGTTACATTTTACAAGGTATGCCATGGTGGTATGCAGCCCCACACGGTTGGTAAGATTTCAAGACTTGAAACTTGACTGCCAGGGTCCAAATTCCATTTATTAACCTCATGAACAGGGGCTATCCCTAACCACACTGCCTTAGGCTCCTTGTCTGGGCAACAGGAATCCTGATCGCAACAGTGCCTATGTCATAGGGATATTGTCATGAGGTTAAATGAGTCAACCCACCCTAAAGGCATAGCACAGTCTCTAACACATAGAAAGGGCCCAATAAATGTAAATGAGGTTAACATCATATAAAGAAAAGAAACCACACTATAAATCATTTTTCAAGGTGATCACTTCGTAAGTTATATAAATATCTAACCACCATGTTATACACCTGAAACTAATAACTTAAAAATATATTTTTTTTTACTGATTTCAGAAAGCAAGGGAGAGGGGGAGAGAGAATCATTGATCAGCTGCCTCTTCCACACTCTCTATAAGGGATTGAGCCCGCAACCCAGGCATGTGTCCTGACAGGGTGTCGAACCAGCAACCTTCTGCATGGGATGATTGAGCCACACGGGCCAGGGCAAAAGAAAATTAAAAATTTTTAATTTAAAAATTTAATTTGTTGTCAGAAGATCCCTGCCTCTACTTCCCACAAAGAGGCACTGAAAAAAAGCTTCTTCCAAGATGACTTTTAAATAAAAGATCTTGTGATAAAACATAGGCTAGCATGCACCAATTCAAATTCCATTCATAGAAAATAATTTCCTGATGCAGACTAAATATTACTATTTTTTTAACTGTCTTATTTTTTACTTACAGTTGACAATATTATATTAGTTTCAGGCATGCAGCATAGTGGTGAAATATTATCTTTTCTAAACCCTCCCAGTCTGTAGTTAAGAACATAAGCAAACTAGAAAGCTCCTCTCTTCACGTAGCTTTCTCACTAACAAGACTCCGCATCATGAACATCTAATAATGCTTCTTCTCTGCAGATTAATAATAATCTAGTTCAAACCACATCATTTCCTTTTCTCTGCCTCATTTCCTTCAAAATAAAACATAATTTTTTCTTGGACCTCGAATAAAAATTCTAGATTAACTAAGCAAATTGTTACCAGAAAGGCAATTTTATAATAATACTATTTCAGGGTACCGAAAGACATAAAACATCTGTGTGGTGCTTGTTAATACATAAAAATAACCTAATATATAATATATACCGCCTAAGTGGAAAATCGAGTCTACAACTAGAAGTGCAAAGAGAATCACTATAGATTTCATCAGTATTGTGTTCTGCAGTCCAGTTGGGAACATTTTAAAAATTGTGACATTTCTTGAAGTCTTGGCCAGAGGTCACAAACTGCTTGGCACAGAAGTTTTGTTTGGCTAGCACAGTATTTTAAAAAAATCAAATATCTTTGGGTGGGTCTTGCCCTTTTTTCACCTGACAGACCCTTGAAGGCATTTTATTTTGCAAACCCTGATGAAGGCCCATCCTTCCAGAGAGGAGCCCAAAAGATAACCACTGGTTAGGTCACCTCCCTCACTGATGGCCTGATAAAGTCAAAAGACTTGCAATTGAGAATACCAATAATTTCATTCAGAAATTATTCTTGTTTGCTTGTTGGATTAATTTTAAATACATACTTTCAATACATGTATCAAACAGTGGCTCATTTGCTGAGGGGTGCTGAGTTGCTAAAACTCACTCACAGCTGTATACGGAATGAAACCAGAAAACAGAAAAACTTTGAAAACACGTTCTGATGATAGAAAAACATGGACTAAAGTCCAACTTTTACATTATTTTTAATAAATCAATAACATGTGGTCAATGGTTGGTTGTTCTTCATCTAAAAGGAAATGGATTTGCTTGATGCAGTATTTAAAGAGGCACTGGTGTTTCTACTAATGCATTTTAATGAATATTTATATATGTACACACATAGAGACACATCATATATACACATACTAAGAATGAACCAACTATTACTCTTTTTATTTCCCCCACTCCCACTGTACTTTCTGGGAGATTCTATTCCACTGACAGATCAAGTCTGAGCCTAAGACCCTAATACCAGAACACTGGACAGAGTTTCCTAAAGCATTAGTCCATGCGTCACTCCAGCGATGTTAGGTTTCAGGTGCCCCCGAGGCACGAGCTAGTTGGCTTTAGGGTCCAAACATTGTTAGTTAAGTGTTCTTTTTAAATTAACACGGAGGAATGCTTCCCCTCAGACGGCCCGGTGAGTCCTCCCTTGTCGCCAGCTGCTTCTTCGGAACACAAGTACAAGGCACCTTGCAGTGACTCCGCTTCTGGGGGCTGTGCCCCCGATCTCCCCGGCGTCAGTCTTTCTGGGGGCTCTGGCGAAGCCTCCCTCCATCCTGGGCTCGTGTGCTGCTGGGCGACGTCCCAGAGAGAAGAGCACGGAGAAGGGAAACCCAGCGCGGACCGCGCCAGGGGCTCCTCTGGAAGGCCCACTGCCTGGATGCACCTGCCGGAAAGCACTTCCTTCTCTTTGGAATTCCGCCATTTCATCCTTCTGTTCTGAAACCAAATTTTCACCTATTGATAAAATAATTGGATAAAATGTTCACTTATCCGACATTAACTCACTTCAGCATTTTAAACTGTAATTTCTCCTACTGTGCCTTCTACAGGCCACCTCATCGTGACAGCCAGCCCAGAAGAGTCCCGTGGCTTTCCACATGGGCGCCTTCAAAAGATCTGAGAAAGCACTTTAGTATGTAATAGCCCCACAGACACTCAAGAAACAAAACTACTGTGGTAAATTAGTCACAACCTGTAAGTCTGACATCTTTCAAGACTGATTTAACTCTCTTCAATATTTTAAATCATTTAGCCTGTGCTAAATTATTTATTCAAAGGCAATGCTAGCTACGAATAATAGCCTCTGAGTGTTTATTTTGTACTAGGTGTCAGGCATGCACTCTACGCGGATGACAGAATTTGATCCTCGCAATATCTGCAGGAAGTCTCCACTAACATGCAAGAAAATTGAGGTTCAGAGTAATAAATCAGCTCAAGGTCAAACAGCACTTAGACTAGAATACATGACTCCCCCACTGCAGTACCCAGACTTATAAGCATTTGGAGCTCATCATGAACCTTTTGGAGACTAAATTATGAATACGTTTTATAATGTTTTAATAAATTTCAGGCTTTATTCAGTTTGCAAGTTTGGTTACTCCCAGAATTTATCAAACTCAAATAATTAGGCCCAATAGATAACAATTGATTGTAATTAACCCAAAAGTACTTATGAGGGTGATTTCTCATTTGAGCCACACCTTCCCACCAATCCACTGGAGTCTCTGTGTACTGTTAACCTCCCTGAGCAGAAAAGTTCACAGTTGGTTTCCTGATATCTTAGGAACATATCACATTGTTTTCCTGGGCATTACATTACATCTGTATGCAAACAATTTAGTAGATAACCTATTTTTTAAAACAAAAACTGGAAAATTTTACCTAAAGGAATAATTCTTGAAATACATCAACCAAATATTTCTCCCAGTGAAGGAAAAACATTCTGACATAGTCTTTCCAGATTGGCAAAATAATTTCTTCATTCTTTCACCTTGATTGGCAATATTCAAAATGACTCAAAATAAACCTACCCCAGGCAATTGCGTCCGAAAGACCGCCATCCCAGTTACACCCCTATGATTAAGGCTTTTCCTAAGAAAACAGTACTGATGTGTACATACCAGGGCATTTGGTTTTATTCATGAACTCATTTATGCTTTTCAGTGGGCTTTCACTCCTAGAAAGCCTGCCAAGTTATTTCTAATGGGTTTTCACTCAGCCCATTCTTGCCTCTCTCTTCACATTCATTATTTTCTTCTACCCTTAGCTCTTCTGTATATCTAGAAATATTTTTGAATAATATCTCATTTTTAAACATCCTGAAAGGAGTTTCTTCACAATCAAATGGTGTTAGGACAAGTGTGTATTGGGGAAAGTCATCAAATAAAAGTTCTACTCCTCAACAAATACAAAACCAAATTCCACATGGATTAAACAGCTAAACATAAAAACAAACTATAAAAGTTCTAGAAGAAAATATAAGAGATTATCACTATACTCTTGGGGAGATGAATGTTTTTGTAAGAATGACATAAAACACTGAGGCTACAAATAAAAAGGCAAACTACATAAAAATGAGATATTTATATACAAATAAAGACACCATGAACATATGAAAAAGCCACAAACTACCCAACAGAATTAAAAGGAGGGATTCAGAAGCATTTGGGTTTTGATGCAGTCCCATGCGTTTATCTTTGTTTTTGTCGCCCTTGCCAAGGAGACGTACCTAAAAAGATATTGCTGAGACCAATGTCAAAGAATGTTATGTTGCTTTGATGTTTTAATAAATTCATTTTCATTAATGTTTTAATAAACATTAAACACACACACACAAAGAGAGTGTTCTGTGTGTGTGTGTGTTTTAAGGCGTTGTGTATCTTCCAGGTTTTATATTTAAGTCTTTAATCCATATTGGGTTTGTTTTGTATGCAGTGTAAAAACTGACCCAGTTTTCTTTCTTTCTTTCTTTCTTTCTTTCTTTCTTTCTTTCTTTCTTTCTTTCTTTCTTTCTTTCTTTCATGTATCTGTCCAGTTTTCCCAACACTACTAAAAAGACTGTCTTTACCCCATTGTATATTCTTGCCTCCTTTGCCATAAATTAACTGACCATATAAGTGAAGGTTTATTTCTGGGCTCTTTATTCTGTTCCACTGATCTATGTGTCTGTTTTTGTGCCACTATCATACTGTTTTGATTATTATAGATTGTGGGATAGTTTGAAGTCGGGAAGTATGATACCTCCAACTTTGTTCTCTTTCAAGATTGCTTTGGCTATTTGGGATCTATTGTGGTTCCATATAAATTTTAGTAGTACCTGTTCTTGTTCTGAGAAGAATGCCACTGGGAGAAGATATTTGCGAATTGTACATCTAATAAGGTGCCAATACCCAAAATATATATGGAAGTCATACAACTCAAATTTCAAATATGAGCAGAGGATCTGAACAGACATTTCTCCAAAGAGGACAGGACATACAGATGGCCAACAGACATAGGAAAAGATGCTCAACATCACTAATCACCAGGAAAATGCAAATCAAAACAACAGTGAGGTATCACCTCACACCTGTCAGAATGGCTATTATCAAAAAGTTAACAAATAACAAGTGTTGACAAGAACATTAAGAAAAGGGAACCCTCATACACTGTTGGTGGGATTGCACTATGAAAAACAGTATGGAGGTTCCTCAAAAAATTAAAAATAGTACTACCATACAATCCAGCAATTCCACTTCTGGGTGTTCATTCAAAGAAAATAAAAACACTAATTCAAAAATATATACATACCCCTATGCTATTTACATTATTTACAATAGCCAAGATATGAAAGCAACCTAGGTGTCTGTTGATAAATACATGGATAAAGAAAATGTTATATATATTAGTCAAATAAAAAAGAAGGAAATATTGCCATTTGTGACAACATAAATGAACCTAGAGTAGTGATTTTCAATCTTTTTCATCTCATGGCACACATAAACTAATTACTAAAATTCTGTGGCACACCAAAAAATACACTATATTTTTTGCCAAAAAAAAAATAGGTATAATTTTGAATCATTCACACTGGATGGCTATTGTTATTTTGGCTGTTGTCATTTTTTTATTTAACAATCTGAGGGAAAAGAGGTCAGTTCCCCTGACTAAACAGTCAGGTATTGCATGTTTTAAAGATTCTTGTGGCACACTGGTTGAAAATCGCTGACCTAGAGGGTATTATGCTAAGTGAAATAAGTCAGGCAGAGAAACACAAATATTGCATAGTATCACTTATATGTGGAATATAAAAAACAAAACAAAACAGAAACAGACTCCTAGACACACAGAACAAACTGATGGTTGACAGAGGGGAGGGGCATAGGGGGAAGGGAAATTAGAGGTATAAACTTCCAGTTATAAGATAAATAAGCTATGTTGAGTGTAAAGCACAGGGACTATAGTCAATAATTTTGTAATAACTTTGCACGGTTACAGGTGGTTACTAGACTTATTGGGGTGATCACATTATAAGGTGTATAAATGGTCAAATCACTATGTTGTATACCCGAAACTAATATAATATTGTATGCCACCTATAACTTTTAAAAAGCATGGACTCAAAGAGATATTTGTATAGCCATGTTCTTACCAGCATTATTCACAAAAGCCAAAAAATGGAAGAAATCCAACAAAAGGTAGTATATACATACAATGAAATATTGTTGTGTGTATAAAAAAGTAAAAAAATTCTGATATATGCTACAACATGAATGAACCTTGTAGACATTATGCTACATGACATAAACCCATCCAGAAAAGACAAAATGACCTATCTAGAGTAGTTAAACTCATAGAGACAGAAAGTAGACTGGTAGTTGCCAGGGGCCTGGCAGAGGTGGGGTGCGGGAGGGGGGTTCTGGGGAGACCCTGTATAATGGGTGCAGTTTCAGTTCTGCAAGATGAAAAAGGTTCTGCAGATGGATGGTGGAGATGGTTGCACAACAATGAATGTGTGTAATGCTGCTGATTTGTACATTTAAAAAAGGTTAGGATGGTAAATTTTATGTTATGCATATTGTACCACAATTTTTAAAAGCCATAAATGTGGAGAGGATTTTTGCAACAGCTATAACAGGAAAATGTTACTAACCATAATATTGTAAAATTTTTATTAACAGCCAAAAACTGTTACATATCAACGAAAAGACAATATGATAGAAAAAAAAAATGGTTCAGCCATGAAAAGGCCATATCACAGATTCAAAATAGCCAGTAAAATTATTAACAGACCCTGAAATTCTGGTAATTAGAAAAATTAAAAGAAAAAAACTATCATTGCCAATAAAGTTGGCAACATTTTTAAAAATTATAAATAGTGGAGGGTTTGTAAAAAGAGATTGTTATTAAGAGTACAAATTTGATATAATTCAGCATTTTGATACAATGTTATATTTGGAAAGGAATTTTTTAATTGATCACAATTTAACACGTACATTCACTTTAACACATTAATCCCACTTCTAGTTCCGTATCTTACAGAAATATTTTTAAAGGGCATGAAGATATGCAACAGTAAAACTTGGAAGTAACTTACTGTTAAGAATGGCTAAATGAATTATGCTATATCTATGCAATTCCTCTGAAGATCAGACAGTTCCATCACTAGGCTCCCCACGTGTCTGCAGACCAGTCACATGGCTGTCTTTCCAGAGATGGGAATTAGCATAAGGCTCTAAAAACACAGAACTTTGAGGACCACGGATCTAGCTCCTTTGTTTGGCAGTATATCTAACCTACCAGGGGATGTCTCCTATACTATTGCCTTACACTGTTATTGAACTGTTCATGAGCTTCTGCTTTGTTTTCCCAGTTGGTTGTATACATTCCCAGGGTGCCAGTGGTATATCTTAATCAGTACATATTGACAGTCCCGCTTACTGGTTATTTAGCATGGTGTCTTGCACACAATAGACCATCAGGATATAGCTATTGATTTAACCGTCATGTACCCAGAATCACTCTGTGTCACAGAAAGAATTTCTAGGTCCCTGTTTTTTAAGTTAGAACCTGAGGTACAGAGCCATCAGTTCAGGTGAATGAACTCAGTACCACACAAGGAGCAAAGCACAGACAGGCTGATATGGGCCAGTGACCCTCTACCACACCACAAACAGCTGCCTGTGATCAGAGAACACTGGGGGTGGGAGGGAAAACAGATCACTAGGGAAAGGAAGCAGGGCTAAGGAGCGTTTCATCCAAAATAACTGCTTTAAATAAAATTCAAAGTTAGCAACCGGGTTATTTGTATCAAGGGAAGAACAGAGCACAGTGGTTAGCACAAGCCTCTGCTAGCCTTTCAATGCTTTTAAGCTAATTTTTAAAAACCCGGGTAGATGTAGCCCTGTACCAGGAAAGCCAGCTTGGAAAGCAGAGTACCTGCTGCATTTCAGCTGCCATCCCCCTTAGCCAAGCGCCCTTTGCAGTGAATGCCCTTCACAGCTGTACATGGGGGCCCCAGGTTAAGAAGAACACAAACTCCAGAGTCAGGTTGCCTGGGGTGGGACACTGGACCTATGTTTATTTCTCTGCGTTTCCTCACCTATGAAATGTGGATGATTACAATGCTTATTTCATATGCTGACTATACGGATAAAACAGAAAATGCTAGTGTCTTATTTATAATTAGCAGACCAATCTTTAAATGGAGTATTCTGTGCTTCCCAGAAGGCCACAAAGTCTCATTCAAAATTATATGAAACATCAACGTACAAGAAAGGTTTGTAAGTGTTGCAAATTTGAAATCAGTTAACTGTACTTGGCATAAACCCAAGTGCAAAGTAATGAAATCTATTAAGAGGTATTTATGAATCATTCATTCATACCTTGGTTTTGGATTGGAAATGAAGAAAAAGACAGGAAAACTGGTTGCTGCTGTTGCAGGGAATTATGTAGCCCTGCCTTTCTACAAGCAGAGCAAACAATTTAATGATGTAAGAGCCACATCCTTAGCATTTATGTTTATTTGAGAAGGATTAATAAGGCAAAAATCTAGACCTCTCAGCAAATAGACCCATTTCAAATAGGAATTGTGACATATTTCCACCCACTAAAATAATTATAAAAATCATTTCAATAATGCTTCAGGGTCCAGCCTCATACAACAGATAGTTGCCAAATGGATGGCTTTCATTGCAGTCCTTCAGAAATCAGGAGCAGGAGACATCTTCCTGCTCTTTAGTACCTGTGACTCCTTTAGTCCCAAGTTGATGGCAAGTTTCTTTCGGTCTATTTTGCTGATATATTTCTGCTTCTGAAACATTTTCTCCAGAGCCTTTCTCTGGTCCTCAGAAAAGACAGCTCTTCTCAGAATACCCCTTCGAGCTTTGGAATTAGAGTCCTGTGTGAGGAGAGGCAGCACACTCTCCTCTCCTAGAGATGGAAAAAGACACAAAGCCCAGTTAGCTGTAGTGAGGAGAAGCCAGGCTGTCTTTCCCAACCAGTGTCCTCCTTGGCTGTCCCACGGTTACCCGGCTCTGAACTCTGCACACTCAGAGCAGTGCCTCCTTACTAACGTTTGGTCATGGACTCTGTTGAGAACTGATCAACGCTCCTTGCTCCCCACTGGGAAAAGAGTACATACTTAGGCTTGCCCTCTCCGTTTTGTGTGTCATGTCTGAAAATCCAGTCCCAGGACACAAAGCTCCAACACAGAACAAGTAGTAGGTAGTTTAAACACGTCATTTTTCTCTAATTCATTCATTCACTCATTCACTCACTCATTCATTCATTCATTCTCTCAAGAAATTTTCAACACTGACCATATGCCAAGCACTCTGGTCAATGCTACTGAGAAACGAGTCAGATATGTTTCATCACAATCATTACCTGTGAAATCTAGCGAAAGGCATTTGTTGAACTAGCATCACATGTATAATGAAGTATTCCAAGGGAGGGTACCTGAAGATCTAAAACAAGGGGTCTGATCTTACTCTGGGATGCCAGGGGAAGCTTGTAGGAGTCAGATACATTTCATCTGAGAAGGGAGCTTTGGAAGACCCCAATCACCACACCTGCTCCCCCACCCCTGTTGATCACCAACTCCTTCAGGTCTGAGACATCTACTACTTTTTCTGCCTTTCTATGGCTAGTTCACTGGTTCCCACCTTCTGAGAGTTCCTTCCTTCCTTCCTTCCTTCCTTCCTTCCTTCCTTCCTTCCTTCCTTCCTTCCTTCCTTCCTTCCTTCCTTCCTTCCAATGCTTCCCAGTTGGTAGGCAGAATAATGGTCTTCCCAAAGATGCCCATGTCCTAATCCCCATAACCTGTGACTATGTTACATTACATGGCAAGGGGAAACGAGGGTTACAGACAAAATTACAGTTGCTAATCAGCTGACCTTAAGATTAAGAGATAACCTGAAATATCCAGGTTGGCCCAAGATAGTTAAAGAGGTCCTTACAGGTAAAAGAGGAAGGCAAACGAAAAAAAGGAAGTGGTAGTCAGAGAGAGATGTGAAGATGCTGCACTTCCTGCTTTGAAGATGGAAGAGATGGGGCAACAGCCAAGAAGTGCACGCAGCCACTGGGAACTGGAAGGGGCAAGGGATCGGACTCTCCCCTAGAGTCTCCAGAAGGAAGGCAGCCCTGCTGACACCTTCACTTTATCCAGTGAGATCATTTCAGGTTCCAAACTTCTGTAACTGGAAGATAACAAGTTGGTACTGTTTTAAGACACTAGGTTTGTGAAAATCTGTTACAGTACCAAGAAGACACTAATACACTGGGTACCAGACCCACTGCGCTAACTGCTAAGGAGCCCAGACGTTGTCACATGGTCCCTGCCCTCAAGGAGCTCACCTCTCATGAGAGGACTGAAATGTGACCATCATTCCAGAAACAGGCACCAGGGGAGCAGGGACTCCAGTGTACGGCTGTGGCTGGTACTCACTGTGGTGCTTAATAATTATTTCTAAATAAACAAGCACATGAATAGACATTTTATACAGACATACGTACTGGAATAGAATGACCTGTATAAAGCTCCGGCGTCACAGAGGAGGAAATGGTGGGTTCAGGGAAAATAATCAGGTCGAGCCACATCTGAAAGAACAGGCCAGTTCAAAAGAGAAAGCACATTCCCTGGCCAGTTTTGCTCAGCAGTTAGAGCGTCAGCCCTTGGACCAGAGACACCTGGGTTCGGTTCCTGCTAAGGGCACGTACCTCGGTTGCAGTTTGTCCCCAGCCCCGGCTGGGGTTGTGTGGGTTGCATTCAATCAATGTGTCTCTCTCACGTAGATGTTTCTCTCTCTCTCTCCCCCCCCCCTCCCTCCCGCTCTGTCTGATGATGAATACAGAACTGTCCTCGGGTGGGGATGAACAAGGAGAGCGCATCAAGGCCAGTGCAGCAGTGTGAGCAGCACCTCTGCCCAGGGCAGGCAGGCAGGCTGCAGGCAGGGAAGGCACGAAGCAGAGAGTGCAAGCTGGCCCCATATCCAGCCTGCAGGTGGGCTTTGCTTGGTTTTAGTGCTGATTAGGAATTCTGAGTTAATTGTCCACATTTAATAACTGGGAGCTTTCGTGTAAATTCCAGGTTTCCAGCATTTCTTCAAAGGGAACCACACTGGGCTCCCTCTCCTACAAAGTAAATGGCTACCAGAGTGAGTAGCAGGTGCTCCCTTTAGGTAGAGCATGTGGCCCCCAGTTGGCATTGCCTCGCCTCGCTTGCTTTTTACCCGCCAGGCTCTGGAAGACGCTGGGCCTGCTGGCATAGGGGTTATGGAGTGGAATCGAGCCAGGTCACAGAGGACTACAAGAGTTTGGGACATCACCCAATAGGTAGTGAAGACCTAACACACTGTCTCTGTTTTAAAGTGCTGACGTGCATCATTTATTTTAATTCTTCCAACCAATCGATGTTATGAATGCTACGATTATTCTCTCCATTTTATAGAGGAATAAAATGGAGCTCGTGTAGCTTAAGTAACTTTATCTGAGGTTGCGTGGGCTAGGGTTTCAATCCCAGGAAGACTGATTCCAAAACCAAGGCTCTGAACCCTACACAACATTCACACATCCTGACTTGTATTTTAGAAAGAGAATGTCAAGCCCTGGCCGGTTTGGCTCAGTGGTTAGAGCGTCGGCCTGCGGTCCGGAGAGACCCGGGTTCGGTTCCCGCTAAGGGCACGTACCTCGGTTGCAGTTTGTCCCCGGCCCTGGTTGGTCGTGTGGGTGGCAGCCACTCGATGTGTCCCTTCACGTCGATGTTTCTCTCTCTCTCTCCCTTCCTCTCTCTCCCTCCCACTCTATCTGTACAAAAAAACAATAAAAAAAAACTAAAAAAAAAAAAAAGAAAGAGAATGTCAATAAATAAATAAATCTGGGTCTACTTTTATTGAAGCCCTGTCCATTCATCCTCTCATAGGATCTTGGTCAATTCTCCATTTATAGAACCAACTTTTTTGCCTGTCTCACGCCAAGGTCACATCTTGAAGTCAGGTTTTGACAACTGGATTCACTGTTTCTTTATCAGAGATTTAAATTTTATGAAATATTGGTCAATAATAAAAAATATTCTAAATATCTCAATATGTCCATTTTTTTCTAACTGCTTTTCTTCCCTGGACTCTCCTTGGACAGAGACCCGGGATTGGCCCCTGTGCAGTATTCGGAGCACAGACTTCTCTGGTGGGATGCTGTCTCTCCAGGAAGCCTCAGGACCAAGCACGTTGGAATATGGAATATGGAAGAACTGGGGTTGGATTTCAGTCTCACCAGTGAGACTTGAAGCAAGTTAGTGTCTTTCAGCTTATCTTACAGGGCTGCTCTGGGGATTTGATGAAATAGCACACGAAGGTTTCAGTGCCAAGCCCACAGCAAAGATCTCACAAATCTATTCCACTTCCCCTTGTTGGATTCCATTTGATTCTTGTAAGAATCATATGCCACAGACATCCTCTGTACAGATGAAGTGTTCAGAGTGGTTAGGCCCAAAGCTAAACAAAGGGCCCAGAGCTCAGCTGGTAGCAAGCCTTTCTGAATACAACTTCTTGGATCCTTCCTTTGCCCACACTGCTTCTTCCCTTGGGCGTGATGGGCCAAAACTTGGAAGGAAGAAACACTCATGAACACTGGCTACAGGCTCTGCGTCCTGCCCTGGACCATCTGGGAGCCCAACTACATGGCATCTCCTGCACAGCCTGGTCACTGTATCCGCCAGTGCTTCTGCCCCCCTCACGTGATATTTGATTCTGGCATTCTTAGTTTACAAATCTATCCAATCTACCTTTATTATAGCCACACAAATTAAATATCAGGGGGAAAAACCTAAATATTCAAAGGGAAAGTACATTATGCTATATCTACTCAGTGAAATTTTAAAGAACCACTAAAGATGAGGAGCAGCAAAGATAGATACTATGCTTATAACTAATCTAAATTCAGAGAAAAGATTGAAAAGGCAAAAATAAAACACTAAGATAAGCTACTAGTTGGAGAGTTATGGACAAATCATTCATCTCCACTCTACATTTTAAGTCTGGTTCTATTTTCGAAGGAAAACAGCAAATAATCAAGCAACCTCTGGGGACTAATCGGGCAAAGTGGCTGAGTCGCTGCTGAGTGACAAGTGAGGAAGAATCCAATCCCCCTTCGGGTGGCACTGTGATGAGGAGAGGAGCGAGAACACAGCCACAGCGCCGGGAGCCCGACACCCCGCCGACCACAGCAGGAAAAGCATTCAGAGCACCAGGTGAGAAGCCACTTGGACTTGGAGGCCAGCAGAGTACAGCCTGTGAAAAAAGCAACCAGAAGAACAGCCTTCCCCTGGCTGGCGATCTAGATAAAGCAGGCAGGGCAGAGGGACCACACGCGCAGACACGTGAGCGGCGGAGGCCTCCCGTGGACCGCCGTGGGTCTAGGGCTCTGGCCAGCCTGCTGTCTCCAGACTGCCGCCCACGAATGGGGACAACACGGGATACACTGGGAAGGTAGATTAGGGCCGGGAGGGCTGAAACTCGTTGAAGTTATAACTTACCACAGAGGAAGCCTTTCAAGGAGGACCTGACCACTTTCTCTGAGTTTATAAAGCTTTTTATATCTATATAGAAATGCAAAACAATTTATGGACCTAGAAGGCGAGTTTCTTTAAAAACTACGTTTTTTCTAAGTAGAGGTTTTATAAGAAGTCATGATTCTACTCATCTTAGCCCCGTCTTCACCACGATCTACCTGTTTAAATAAATCTAGTAACACATTTAAATGCCCCTAAAACAGAAATCCATGGGTTTTCCTAATGAAGTAGTTTTAAGAAAAGAGAAAAAAGATCCTCATCAAGGGAATCTACAAGTAAGTTATTCTCGCCAATGTGGTACATACTAACATTTTGGGGGTCAGGGACCCAAATCAGACCTCATTCTCTGAAAGAGACCTGGAGT